GCGTCCCCCGGGTCCGGGGAAGCCCCCGGGGGATGATGTGATGGCCGGGTGGGCAGCTCGGGGACACCAACACAGGGGGGGACACCAACACAGGGCTGGACACCCTCCCCTGCCCAGAGTCACTGGGGACAAGTCATGGGACGTGACACGCTCTTGTCTCTATTTCTAGGATGGAGAAAGTTTCCGCATCCTAAAAATCAAGGTAATTGGGTGTCGTATTGTATTTTACGGGTGGTTCTCCTCCCTTTCCCCTTGTGTGAGCCATAACTGGGCTGGGCACTGGAGGGTCTGCCATGCCCGGGTGTGTTGGTGGCTCAGACCCCCCGACCAAGGCACTGGGCTGTATCTCGCCCCCTTTTCTCACTGTTCCAACTCTGAGTGAAATCACTGAGGCCATGAGGAGCCATCTTCCCCTGACGCTCCGGCTCCTCCTGTCCCCTGCAGACGTGGTGACCCTGGATACAAAGACGGCTCATCCCGCTCTTGTCGTGTCGGAGGATTTGAGAAGTGTGAGACGGGAACGTGAAGAGCAGGACATGACCGACACCCCGGAGAGATTTACAGTTCACTGCTGCGTGCTGGGCCGGGAGGGGTTCCGGGAGGGGAGACATTGCTGGGAGGTGGAGGTGGAGGCGGGCAGTTGGTCACGTTGGGCCTTTGGTGTGGCCAGGGAGTCTGTAGAGAGGAAGAGGTATGTGGACCTGAGCCCTGGAGAAGGGATCTGGGCGGTTGAGAATTGGTATCAGCAGTTCAGGTCTCTCACTTCTCCTCCCACTGTCCTGTCCCTGTCCTCGCTGCCCAGGAGGATCTGGGTCTGTCTGGACTGCACACGGGGGCTGGTGACCTTCATCAATGCCGACAACGGGCTCCACATCTTCACTTTCCCACCCGCTGCGTTCAACGGCGAAACCCTCTGCCCGTGGTTTTGTGTGGGGACAGAGAAAACCCATCTGCACCTAAGGGGCGGCACCTCTTCCACTCTCTCCTCCTCTTCCACCCCCTTCTCACCCTCCAGCAGATCCTGCCCTTCTCCAGCCACCCCCTGCTCTCCTCTCCTGCCTCCCACCGCAGCGGATGTCCCTCTCTGCCCTGCCCAAGACCGGGAAGCAGAGGGGGAGTGAGGGGAGGGGGCAGAGGGGCTGCCGTGGGGTCCTCGCTGGTGCTGGAGGAGGGCTGGGGGGGCTTGCGAGCAGGGGGGTGTCCTCCTTCCACCTCTGGTGGAGTTCCTTTCCTTCCCTTTTGGGTTTGGTACGACAACGACGTCAATGGCGCAGAGTTTTATATGTTGCCAAGATATCTTGATGTTAGTTGGGGTGTTCCTGCTGCATTAAACCGTCTTTGTCCCACCCCGCCAGGTTTTTCCCCTCTTTTCTCCCTCTTCTCCCCACCCTGCGGGGTTTGGGCTGGATCTTGGCTTTTGGCTGGATTTGGGCTTTTCCATTGAATCATAGAATCATGGGTTGGTTTGGGTTGGAAGGGACCTTAAAGAACATCTCGTTCCACCCCCCTGCCCTGGGCAGGGCCACCTCCCCCCAGCCCAGGTTGCTCCAAGCCCCGTCCAACCTGGCCTTGAACACCTCCAGGGATGGGGCAGCCACAGCTTCTCGGGGCAACCTGCCCCAGGGGCTCACCACTCGCACAGGGAAAAATTTCTCCCTAATATTTAATCTAAATCTCCCTTCTTCCAGCTTGAAGCCGTCTCCAGTCCTCTGATCATCTTTGTGGCCCTCCTCTGGACCCGCTCCAACAGGTCCATGTCTTTCCTACGTTGGGGGCTCCAGAGCTGGACGCAGTACTCCAGGTGGGGTCTCACCAGAGCAGAGTAGAGGGGAGGAATCACCTCCCTTGACCTGCTGGCCACACTTCTTCTGATGCAGCCCAGGATATGGTCGGCTTTCTGGGCTGCAAGCGCACATTGCTGGCTCATGTTGAGCTTCTCGTCAATCAGCACCCCCAGGTCCTTCTCCTCCGCGCTGCTCTCCATCCCTTCCCCACCCAGCCTGGAGTTGCGCTTGGGATTGCCCCGACCCACAGGCAGGACCTTGCACTTGGCCTTCATGAGGTTGGCACGGGCCCACCTCTCCAGCCTGCCCAGGTCCCTCTGGATGGCATCCCTCCCCTCCAGCGTGTCCACCTCCCCACACAGCTTGGTGTCATCGGCAAACTCACTGTGGGACCACTCCATCCCACTGTCCATGTCCCCAACAAAGACATTGAACAGCCCCGGTCCCCATACCGACCCCTGAGGAACACCACTGGTCATTGCTCTCCGCTTGACCATGGAGCCGTTGACCACAACTCTTTGAGTGCGACCATCCAGCCAGTTCCTTATCCGCCCAGTGGTCCATCTGTCAAATCCACATCTCTCCAATTTAGAGACCGGGATATTGTGTGGGACGGTGTCAAATGCTTTGCATGAGTCCAGGGAGATGACATCAGTCGCTCTCCCCTTGTCCACTGCCGCTGTAACCCCCTCGTAGAAGGCCACCAAAGTTGTCCGGCGTGACTTGCCCTTGGTGAAGCCACGTTGGCTGTTCCCAATCACCTCCTGAGTTTCCATGTGCCTCAGCAGAGGTTCCAGGAGGATCTGCCCCATGATCTTGCCAGGCACCGAGGTGAGACTGGAGTTCCCCGGGTCCTCCTTTTTACCCTTCTTGACGATATGGGTTATGGTTCTCCATATGGGGGCATCCTGCTGCGCCGCCCACCCTTTTTCCCAAAATCCCTGTTTTTTTCTGTGATTCCCTTCCCAGTCGGGCGCTGGTGGAAGGCGGTTGTGGCTCTTGGGGTATTTTGGGGGGGTTCTGCCTCCCGGCGCCAAAGCATCTCTGCGCCAGAGCGGCTTCAGGTGCAGCCGGAGAGGAAACTTCTCTCTCCGTAGAAGAAATTGCCCAATCTGGGTCTGTTTTGGGTCTATATTCCGCAATATTGATCCATCCCTGCGGCTGTGATGGGGTTGGGGGGG